AAAGAGGCTAGCAGGTCGATATCTGAGTTTTGGATATAATGTTAAAAAAATTCAGTATAGAAGGAGTCAGTTTGATTTAAACATCCTGCATAAAAGAAATGTATATATCAGTCAAAAAATTAATGTGTATCTATTTTTGAAACGACATAGACAAAAAATTGTTCAACAAGAATATCTGCAGCTTTTTAAAGTCAACATTTAAGTTCTATGGTCGATACAATTACTTTGTAATCAAATGCAAATTGTCATTCAGTCATTTGCTGACTGACATTTTTCATACTAATGGTTAAACAATTATTTAATGATTGAATTGACGACAGATTTCTATTGAATTGTCGACGGATTTTCATTATATCCCAATCATAACAAGGAGCACACGATGGGTGAGACCGGGGATGCTCGCTGCTCTATGGCACCTGATTGAATACAGTTCGTTATGTTCATGTTTATATTCCATCTGTAAACAGATGTATTCCAACATTTTCTTTTCAATTCTATATGTATGGCACGACAAATTCACAAAAATGAGATAAACATAGTTTCACATTCGATAAACTAGGTTTAAACTAGGTTTATCGGTTGTAAACTATAGTTTACGGACTGTAAACTATAGTTAACAAGGTTAATCTATATTTTACATCCGTAAAACATACAGTAGTTAACGCGAAAATCTATGTTTCACAACCGTAAACTACACTTAACACTGAAAACAATCATTTGCGATTGCAACACATAGATTATCTGATAAATACAGTTTCACGATTTGTAAACTATAGTTTACAAACCGTTAACTATAGTTAACGATCTGATAAATATAGCTTAACGATTTGTGAATCTATGATTAACAACTCTTAACTCTAGTTTACGATTGTAAACTATAGTTTACAAACGTGAATCTATGTTTATCAACAAAATCTATTTTTAACGATTATTACAGACAGATAAACTTAGATCATCATTATAAACTATAGTTAACAACCGTTAAATATAGTTTTACAGATGAAAACTATACTTAACGAATCGTTAACTATACTTTTTTAACTATACTTAACGAATCGTTAACTATAGTTTACGATTTGTAAACTATAGTTTACAGTCGATAAACCTAGTTTATCAATACTTGATATCGCGATTACTCAACTTAGCGGAACTCTTGCGCGTTGGAGGTAGGAAACGTCGTTGAGCTGGGGGCAATGTCGGCCGATTTTTTAGCGTTGTTGAATTCGCCGCGAGATTTGGTTAGTATACCTTTTTTACGTAGTTTAAAAAAGGAAGCTTTACAGAAATTCCTGGCCCAACATTCAGTTAATCACAGTAGTAAGACAAAAGAGGAGTTGGTACTCCTGTGCCATCAAACGATACGATTAAACATACCATCGAAAAGCAAAGATGATTACATAACTAGAAATCTTAAGCGTAGGACTGTTGCTGGCATTGTTTACCCCAGTCCTGAGAATACCTCCCTTACGTGGTCTTCAAACTTGATTTCTGTTCCACTAATCGATATATTTGATATTCAGCATTATCTTTGCACCGAGTCCGGTTGGACTAAAGAACGTTTTAACAACAGAAAGAAAGAGAATAGTTTCAAACTATTTTCAAATGGACATTTACATGGTGTTGAACTTTGTAATCTGGGTATGTTCAATATGTACCTACTTAATGGTCATTGATCAAGATTGTCAGACTGGCCTTTTAAATTTTGTAAAACTTTTACTTTTTATGACTATGAATTTAAAAACATTCCTTCTCATCCAAGGTACTTGGGTCTTGGACAGTTTATAAATAGAATGCGGGTGGGTACGACCCGATTCCTTGTTCGACCCGTGTGGTTTCGACCCTTTTCCTTGTTCGACCCGAGTGGTTTTGACCCGAGTGGTTTCGTTCCGAAGCAATATCAATCATAACAATTTTGATAGTTTAAAAACATTTTTGGGGGTCTAATTCAAAATATTCAGATTTTTTTAACCGATCGTGACTGTTTATAAACATATTCATTATTAAAAATATTGCTAAATAATTTAATGTTTATCTATTATTACATTTATAGACAATAAATTCTTATATTATCCCACAAAGGGCTGATTAGGTTTTAAGGAAAATGTTCAAATATATATAAATTATTTATAATTTATTTCAAATGAAATTAATTGCATCCTTGTGACTTCAATGTTGACAACCAATAATTGACACGTATCCCTCCCTGAAGCCATACAGCTACCTTGAAACCATGTGTATACCTAAGGTATACACCATACCTTATAGTGTGAGCCCCTCTATTTACCTGTATACATATAATTATAAGTAGGTCGAAACCACTCGGGTCGTTACCACGCGGGTCGAACACGGAATCGGGTCGTAACCACTCGACACCTATAAATATCTATGAACCATTGAACCTTTCTGATATGTAAACGAAAGTCCTTTTTTTTTTTACACATATCAATAAGTTTCATACATATTTATAAACCAAGACCCAAGTACCTGTGCTTTGCAGGTTCATGTCAACACCCCCTGAAATATTTTGCAAATTCAAAAAAAAAAAAAGCCACATTTTTTCTTTCTTATATGATTGGATTTATGGTTAAATTTAATTGTTAAAAATTTAAATTAATTAAATTTAAAACTTTTCTTTTCAGAAAATGACATGTTGTATATGTCAGCCAAATGTGTGCCAGAAACGCGGCAGTCTGGGGACTCCTACAAGCTGTGGGTACTACTGAATAAATCAGGCCAAATTTTCTCAGCTGAATGCAATTGTATAGCGTAAGTTTCAGATTACATTTTTTTCTTTAAATCTTCACAAAACAAGGTAGTTCAATAAATTCAAATCATGCAATATAGTGAATATACATGTTTAATAAAAACTCTGAAGGTCCAGTACATGCATATATTAATTTTACTATAAATATGTTGGAATTAGCAAATACCAAATAAGCATAGAAATGCAATGAAATAAATGATATTAAATATTTTAAGAGTGTCATAGGGATGACATGAAGTTGATACATGATAAAAACTACTGATAAGCTTTGGGCATGAAACTATGATGACATTTAAAAAAAAATTATCAAGATATACAAAATAGTTTGATAAAGGTATTTATAGGCAGTTTTTCGCAATTTTTATTTTAGAAATAGACAAAAGTCGTGAGCATGGAATTGTTCATCTATGTACTATAAACAATAAAAAAAAAAATTTCAATTTTATGTTTTCGTAACGTCCAAGCCAAACATTGTTTCTGCCTATCTCAATGTCTGGTAATAACTCTGCAATTTTTTTTTTTAAGTTAATTGAAAAAAATGTTTTTATTCTGATGATGTAATTTCAGGGGTAACGGATCATGTAAACATGTTGCTGCTGCACTTTTTAGTCTCCAGCACCGATCTTCGTGACAGCGCTGGTCCATCAGTTACTAATGTGCCAGCCTACTGGACGGCTTCAAAACGTATTTGCAAGCCAGTTGCTGTAGAAGATTTAGATATTAGGTACAGCAATAATGTATGACTTTTAATATTTAAATATTTTAATATTTATTACAAGTATTTAAATAAGACATCATTACTTGGTTTAAAATATTTAAATTTTTAAAAATTGATGTTGATTAATATTGACAAATTTTTGCGATAAGAGATTTTTTTACAAGGGAATATGATATATATGTACTAGAGAAAATTGTAAAAATAGGTGTAGGGTTGGGTCATTTGAAATTAAGTCAGATGTTTAAATTTCAATGAAAGCATCCTTATAAAATAAAGATTTGTGTATAAGTGTATTAAATAGCCATGTTAGTTGCGTACATGTATATTCAATAACTACATGTAATAATTCTTTTGCAGAACTGATGTCACTACAGCACGCTCTGATGGGCCTACACATCAGGATGGATACTTTCCAATTCCAGAGGATCAACTTGATAAAAAAAGGATCGAAAAAGACATGGTGAAACTTTTGAAAAACTGTAAAGTTCCCGGTGTTGCCTTATACACGTTATCTGATTCAGATTCAGATTTAGAGGACATCGAAAGAGATAATTTTAAAAACATAGTCGATTTGATTAGAGATTCTGGATACAGTAGTCTTTCCGAATATACACATAAATATAAGGATCAAATCAGAGAAGGCACGTTCGGTCAAAGTAGTAATCAAATGTGGAAGTATCAAAGACTTGGGCGACTCACTGCATCTATGTTTTACAGAGCTTACCATTATAAAGGAGGTAAAGAAAACAACAGCATTGTAAAATCCTGCCTTGGGAAGTATGGAGACTTTACTACCAAGGCAACTCAATATGGCATCGAGAAGGAGGCCATTGCCAGAACTCAGTATGTTGACAAGATGTTCAATCAGCACACATCTTTTTTATGTGAAGAAACAGGACTTCACTTAAATCCACAGTTCCCTTATTTAGGAGCATCCCCCGATGGACTTGTGAAGTGTAAATGTTGTCAGCAAGGAGTACTCGAAATCAAATGTCCATTTTCAATGCGAGATTTGACACCTGAGGAAGCTCTGACTAAACTTCCCTCATTTCGTGAATCAAATGGAAAAATGGAACTGATACAGAATGTAAATTCCCCTTACTACATTCAAATGTTAGGACAAATGGGGATCTGTAAGGCACCGTATTGTGATCTTGTACTGTACACTACCAAGGGCATTTATGTTGAAAGAGCTTTTTTCAATGAAGCATTATGGAACAATGTTGTATTAAAGCTTAAAAATTTTTATGAAAGTTATATACTACCTTCCATTTTATTCAACTAAGTGCACATGTTCCGGTATGTGATTATCTAAGTTTTGAACATAGATTTGTTATGTCATCCTGTCAGTATGCAGCTGTGACAATGAATAAAAACAAACAATCATGAATTATATTTGTTTTAAATACAACATTAACAGTAATACCCTATTTTCAAACAGTAAAACATGATAAGTTAGTGTAACAAACATGGCTATCTCTGGGCTAGCTACATGCATCTCCTTTATAAACATTTTATTCAAGCTTTGTACTTTCTCACGAGAGGGGGTAAAAAGTTACAAAAAGCAGCAGCTACTCTGAGCATCTGAGATGAAATGTTTTTAAGTTTAAGTGGAAGAATTTGTCCTAGTAGTTTAAAGGATTTTAATCTTCGAATCGCCCTCTCAACGTGAATTCTAACTGATGCAATTTTTCGTGTTTCCTGAATTTCTTTGGATGTCAGAACTCTTCCTTTTATGCTTCTGTTAGAAACTCTTGTAAATGGAGGCATGTTCAACTTCGCTCCCTTTTGAATCGCTAGGTCTCGAATTTGAAAACCACGATCTGCCATGATTTCATCGCCATATTGTAATTTGTCCAAGTATCCACTAAGTTCTGTAATTTTACGATCAGATATATTACCCGACCAAAGATTCGAGACAAAAGTAAATGCACCATTAGGTTGTATGGCAACTAAGGCTTTCAAAGTGTTATGACTCTTGTAGTTGCTCCAAGTTGCAGCTTGAGCACTAGGATTTCTCGGTTTTTGTATGAAAATTTCAGTACAGTCAATAATTGATGTTGTTCCAGGATATTTTAGTTTAAAACTTAATGGCAAATGTTTTCTTATCTTTTCCTTTGATGGCCATTTAAGAACTGGCTCAAGATATTGATATAAAAAATTTATCCAAGTAGTGAACATATTTGATATTTGACTGAGTGAGACACCAAACAGAGTTGATAGAGTTATGTTGTCTAATCCGAGTCTAAGTTTCAGCATAATAATTATAAACTCCTCCTTTAGACTGAGTTTTCTTTTCTTTCCTGGTTTTCGGCGTTTCTCGGTTTGCCACACCTTTTCACCACCTTTTCTTGAACCTTTCCAGGAGTTGACATTTTTGAAGAGCAAAGACACAGTGTTAATAAATCCTAGTAGGAATGCCAATGATGGAAGTCCAAGAAAATGTTTAACTGTTTTGTCTGATTCAGATATTTTGGAAGTTAACATGTTTCTTAGATTCTCTGCATTGTGCTCAAGTTGCTTCTTTAGTGACAGATTTTCCTCTTTCAGATTTTTGTTTTCTTTGGTCAGTCTAGTACATTTTGACTGAAAGAATTGCAGTTTGATTTAGTTCGAGGCATATACATTCATTTTTTAATAAAATTATAGCATTTAATCATATAAACTTATAGATAAAATGATATAAAATATATATAATGTTACCTTTGCATTTTAAGTCTGCTAAGTTTATAAAAAAAATTTAATATGGTTTTACAGTATTGATTTGATGAAATAGATTATACAAGTTTATTCTGGAAATTATGGAGGGTATTTATTGAAAATAAAATAAACAAAATATTTAATTAACAGATGATAACAATAAATCAATAAAGAAGTAAATATAGATATAACTTCAAACAAAAACTCAAAGGGGAATTAAGAGTAACTTAGATAACTCTTTCTCATAAAAGAACAAAATACCAAACCAAAATATGAACCAAATTAAACATGTTTGTACCTCCAAAAGATCATTTTTGTTTTTAAGATGTTCAATTTTTTCTTCCATACATTTGTATTTTTTGTCAACATCTCTACACCCATTTGACGAATAGCAATGGTCAAGTGGTACATTTTCTAAAATTAATGCAAAAGAACCATATGGAATTATTTACAGTTGACTCAAACAAACCAAAAAATTAACTTAGTAATTATAGGTTTTAATAATGAACAAATTCATTTTATTTTTTTACCTTGTTTTTCAATTACTATCATGGGCACTGGGCTCAAACTCTCAGACTGTAATTCCACCTCTCCTGCTACATATGGGTAACAGACATTGGATTTTACAAAGGCATCCTGCTTTACAAGTTTGATATTTACAGCTGGTGTGATGTCAGCCAGAGGTTCTCCTGCGTGTAAAACCTGATTAATGTTAGGACTATCTGCAGCTATGTTAGGACTATACCTAGTGATTTTGGTGGGGATGCATGCAGAGTTATTTGTTTTGCGTGTAGTTTTTGAACGCTTATAGTTGTTATATCTGAAAAGTGTTGGGTACGGGTTTTCAGGAGTCGGTTTACCATCCACAAAATGATCTGAACAAACAACTAAGTGCCTCAAGTCGCAAATAGGGTTTTGTTTAACACTTTTGTTTATCTTTTCTTCTAGGCCGTCCCTTCTGATTAAATCAAGCCATTTCTTTCTAAAACTCGCGACTTTTGGGATGGGATGAAATGATAAATGTTTAGATTTAGCCGCCCTGCTATCAGAGGAGCACCCCTCAGCTATACAATGAACTTTAGGCATGCTGCTTATTTCACCTTGGATTCGTCTCTAGTGTAAACAAATTTATGCCCCGGAAATCTCGCGAGATTAAAAACTTTCTCGACTTTCTCGCAAAAGAGTTCCAGTAAGTTAGATAACCTTGAGGTAATCGCGATACTAAGTATTGTGAAAATAGGTTTATCTCATTTTTGTGAATTTGGCGTACCATATATATGATCTGTAGATAAACAGTTCGATGTAATTAATATCAAAATGTGATATGTTTACAAACGTAATAAATATTTTGTAACACCATGTACATTTTTTTCTTGAGAATGACTATGCAAACTAAATATTTATTCAAAGAAATGTAAAGTCCTTACCTTAATTTTACTTTCGGTTTGTATTATAAATACATTAACCTGTAGTCTATTTCTGACAATCAATGGCTCATCAATGTCCCTATTTTTAGCAATATCAACTTTTTAAAACATGGATCGCATTACCTATTAATCGAGAGGACGTGATCTAATTTTGACTCATTATCAAAATGAACATACTGGACCAATGTATTCAATTATTTAGGTTGAATAGAAATATATTCAGTTAATTTAAGATTGGAAAGCTAAGGTGTAAAATGTATTAAGATTTATAAGGAATTTACGTGCCTTGGTTGCTTTGTTTATGGTCTTATAATAATAATTTAACAGAAAAATTTTTGCCATACGTATGTCAGTCAGGTACTTTAAATTACGAGTGAAACATACCAGTTTATGGTCATAACGATAATACGATTATTATAATGGATTAATGAATTTTAAAATTATCAGAATTCAAATCATGATCCAAAGATCTACATGAATAATGCATGGACATGACTTGCTCTTAGTTTACATTATGATTATATGAATCTTAACTTTATTTACAAGACCTTTCATTTGAGCACATAATAATTCTCATTTGGCAGGTTTTAATTAAAAAAAATAATTTATTTCATTTAATTTTTTTAGTTACTGATCATTAGATTTGATTTATTAAAGATTTACTTACATTTACTAAGCATTTAAAACACTCCAAAATAAATATCAGGTTTTAAACAATCACAAACAAACATTACACATAGTATCCCTGAATTGAATAGTTAAATAAGTGTCTCCCGCCTGAGTGGATATCTCAGACCAAATAATGCAAACTGACAAAAAAAAATTTATGAAAAAAGACAATATCCTTATTAGTCCCCTACCGGTGAAACCGGGGGGACTATAGATTTCCTCTGCGTCCGTCCGTCCGTCTGTCTGTCTGTCCCCGTCAGTCTGTCCCACTCAGTTTTCCCCACTTTTTTTCTAAACGCTTGAAGATATTGAGCTGAATTTTGGTATGTGAGTGTATCTTTATGAGTTACAGATAAAGTTTGAATTTCGCTTCGCTACATTCATTTTTGACAGAATTATGGCATTTTGAATATTTTTCATAATCGTTTAATTATGATCGGGTTCGAACTGCGCTAACTTACGATGGTCGACATAAATATAAAGCGAGGAAAAGACGGTGGAAAAATGAGCTGAATTTTCGTCCTAATGTGGATTATTTTATTTGTTTAAAGGCATTTACAACTTTAAAATCTTGCAGTTTTACCTTGGACATGACTTTTACATATTATAAAATGACATCCTGAAGAAAAAGGGGAACCCGGTAGGGGACATGTATTGCTTATGCAATACTCTCAGAATGCTTGTTTTAACATTAACAGATTCTTATATCTACTGTAACCAATAGTTTTTAGCAGTTATTAAAGTTGGAATTTTAGGATTTAAAAAATATAAATTAGTAATACATGTCCGGTGCTTGTGTAAATGTATAGATGATTGAATGAAATTCCTGAAAGAAAAGATATAGCATTAAGAAAAAGATAATTATAACAAGCATTCTGAGAGTATTGCATAAGCAATACATGTCCCCTACTGGGCTCCCCATTTTCTTCAGGATGTCATTTTATAATATTCAAAAGTCATGTCCAAGGTAAAACTGAAAGATTTTCAAGTTGTAAATGCCTTAAAACTAATAAAATAATCCACATTAAGACGAAGAAGTTCAACTCATTTCTCCACCGTCTTTTCCTCGCTTCATATTTTTGTCGACAATCGGAAGTTAGCGCAGTTCGAACCCGATCTCAATTAAGCGATTATGAAAAATATTCAAAATGCCATAATTCTGTCAAAAATCATTGAAGCGAAGCGAAATTCAAACTTGATCTGTAACTCTTTAAGGTACATTCACATACCAAAATTCAGCTCAATACCTGCAAGCGTTTAGAAAAAAAAGTGTGGAAAACCAAGTGGGACAGACTGACAGGGACAGACAGACGGACGGACAGACGGACGGACGGACAGACGGACGGACGGACGCAGAGGAAACCTATAGTCCCCCCCCCGGTTTCACCGGTAGGGGACTAAAAATCCAATTATTTAATCTGTAAAGAGTAGAACCCTCTCAGGTTTGCCTTTAAATACGTTTTGATCCGTTAATAAACATTGCAATGTGCTTAATATAAATAGGTGACAATATGCGTACAGATTTGTAGATTCTCAAGGGTTATAACGAAGGTAAGAAATACCAAAATCTTAATTTAGGCCTATCCCAAAATATATTGCTTCTCATTTTTAAGTTTCATAACTTGTTAATATTAAGTATAAAATATATAAAAACATCACATACCTGTTTCTCTTGAAAATGGCCAAACTAATGTAAATGTTCATTCAGAAATTAAAATTCCTCACACTAATTTAACTTTCGGTTTGTATTATGAACGTCTTTACCTGTACTCTATTTTTGGCATTCAATGACTCATCCATGTTAATATTTTTTTGCAACGCAACGTCTTGAAACATAGATCACATTACCTCCTCATCGAGGGGCGTGATTTAATTTTGTTTCAATATCAAAATGAACATATTGTACGTCGCTTCCAATTCAATTCAATTTCAATTTCTTTTTTGCAAAAAACATACGTCTTATAGCATTAATACAATATATGAACAAAGGAAATAATCAAAAAATGGCAGGTCAGTCCTTGTAAATACTTATGGAACATGCACATCTTTACAGTTCATTTGGAGAATGACATGAGATTAATGCAACGTACAATGCTTCCATTTCTGAAGAAATGGTAATAAAACATTCTTCCTTCGTCTAATTTTTCTCTTAAGGTACTCCGATTCGCAGGTAGGAAGGATAACTCTTTACTTTATAATATAATTCAAAAAGTCTCACGTACAATGAAGCTTTAAAATTGAATCTTTTCATGTAACAATTTTCATTTTATTTATATCTCTCAATGTGCTTCAAGGTTCTTTGAAGTTCTCAGAAAAATCTTATAAAAACTCGAAATTATTACCCATAAAAGTTTTTAATAATAAGTACGTTTTTAAAGAAATTGAGATTCATTTTAATCTAACAATAGATACCAATGTTTATTAACTAGTTATGAAATAAGAAGTGATTATATCATGGTGTTTTGCAAATTATTTTTCCACTATGCATTTTAAAATGAAGTGGGTAAGAACACATCACTTTAAGAAATCAGAGACATATTTGAGAGCATTTTCAAAAAGTCAATGCCTGATTTTCAGAACGTGAGTATCGGAGTACCTTAAAATAAGTTCTATTGTTGGCATATTCAAACTTATTTCCTTTAATTGTTCTCCATATTGTATCAGAATTATGTATTTGTTTGCCTATTTAAGGTCTTCCGTTTCCAACGGAAGACCTTCTACTGATTCTGTTGGTAAAGATTATTATTCTTTTTTTTTTCTTCTGCTTCCTAGACCGCAACTTTGAAGCCTCACAGCTCGCTCATTTCTCAACGGATTTCGCTCAAATTTTCAGACGATATAGACGTTAATAAACTCTATCAAAATGATGTCTAAAATTTCAAAAAGCCACTTCCGGTTTTGAGTTATTTCCCTTTAAAGGAAAATTTATAGGCTTTCGTTTCCAGACAAAGGCTCAGAGATGGCTAAAGCTGGAGCAGAAATTCTACTGATTTTAGATAATAGAAGGATTGAAGTTGTGCACATCGGTTTTTGTTTTTCGATTTCTGTATTCAAAATGGCGCTATATAGGGATCAAAAATTAGAACGCTTAGAAGAACCAAAAATTACTCATATTTTTCTTTTTATCTTCTAAACTGAAAATATTTTGTTAAAATATATAGAACATAATTTGTGCAGAATTAAAAGATCTTTCAAGTGATTTGTCGAAAAAAGGGATGACCCCTAAATTAAGGGACCTAGAAGGGCCAAAAGTTTTTTCCAGATATCTCGAAAAGTATTGAGAATTTGTTATGCATCAAAGAAGCAAAGTTGTTCAAAATATCAAGCTTTATTTAATGGGGTTGACAAATTACGTCCGGCGACGTCATTTCCGGTCGAACCGGAAGTAGTCAGAAAATGCATATTTTTGCCGTTTTTGACAGGTTTTTGGGTAACATGTCTCACTAGAAGCTTAAATATTAATTTTCTGTCCATCGTCGTCACTTCCGGTCAAACCGGAAGTACCAAAGAATGGCTTAATTTTACTACACTTTACATAGATTTGGAGGATTAACCCATTTTTTGGACTTCATTACTTTTTTTTTTTAAATTAAAGTTACTTCTGGTCAAACAGGACGGAAGACCTACTCGTTGCTTTGCAACGAGCTCGGCTCTAGTTCTATCTGTTTTTGTCCGTCGCCGTCCGTCGTTCGTCGCCCGTCGTGTGTTAACATTTGAACATTTTCAGCTTAAATTCTTTTCTGAAACCACTGCACCAATTTCAACCAAATTTGGTATACAGCATCTATGGGTGAAAGGGAACACAAATTGTAAGATTTCATGTTCCCTGCCCCCCTTGGGCCTGGAGTGGGGCCAAAACCACCAAAATTATTGCAATCTTCAAAATCTTCTCCTTTACTCCTGGACATCAAGCAGGCAAACTGTTGGCATGAATGTATTGAGCATTGAGTCCTCTACCAAAAATTGTGAAATTCATGGCCCAAGGGTCAG